CGGAGGCGGCGGAGCTACCGGGAGAGAGAGAGAGAGAGGATGGGGGAGGGATTGTGGGGAGGATGGGGATGGGGTGGGATGGGGAGGGATGGGATGGGGATTGGGGGAGGGGTGATGATGGGATGGGGAGGGTGGGAGGAGAAAAGGGATTGGGATGGGGAAGGGAGGGGAGGGATGGAGGATGGGGGATGGGAGGGATGGGGATGGGAAGGAAGGAGAGGGATAAGGAGGGAAGGGATGGATGGGGAGGGAGGAAGGGGAGAGATGGGGTGGAATGGGAGGGAGGGATGTGGAGGGAAGGGAGGGAGGGGAGGAGAGAGACAGAGGGAGATGGATATATGTAGATATAAGACAGCGAGAGAGGAGGACAATAGATAGATCGTAGATAGGGAGGGAGGGAGAGGAGAGATAGAAAAAGAAAAGAAAGAAAGAGAGCGAGACCAGAGAGAAACAAAACCGGATGAAAAAAGAGAAAGAAAGAAAAGAGAGAAACACAACCACAGAAAAAATCAGAAAAGAAAAAAGAAAAACGAAAAAAAATCAAACACAACAGAGACAAAAAAAAAAAAAAAAAAAAAACGAATCAAAGACATCAAAAGAAAAACAAAGAAACAAAGAAAGAACAAAAAAAAAAAACAGAGAAAAACGAAAAAATCAAAGACATCAAAACGAAAAACGACTGAAACAAACAAACAAACAAACAAAAAAAGGGTATATATATCTACGTCTCGAAAGTGTTTTGATGGTCTAAGTTACGGCGCACGGAATACATGTCGTGTGGAGTGAATTCCCCGTATGTACCACTCACACACCTCCAGGGATTCGCTATGTGTAGGTGTGTGTACATTTTCCCTCAAACCTCAAACTTTGGGGGGGAGAGGGGGGGAGAGTGATGTGTTCTTTGTCGTTTCTCTTTTATTCTTTGCTTTTATTTATCTATTTTTTTTGTTTTATTATTTCATTATTATTATCTTTTATTTATTATTTATTTTTCTTTTTTTTTTTCTTTTCCTGTTTCGACTAGCATTTTATCGTTGTCCTAATTGTGACGATTATTTCCAATGTTTTTCAATGTTAGTGCTATCATTGCTATTACGATTACGACCATCATTATCATTATCATTATCATCATCATTGTTATTATGATTATCATTATTAATATCATCATCATCATCATCGTTATTACTATATTTAGCTATTGTCCATTACAAATTCACTATCATGACTGATTTCCTTACATCATAATACTAATGATAGTGAATGATTATTATATATTATCATTCTGCTTCCTCTTTTCTTATTTTCTTTCTTCATTTTCCCTTCTGACTGCTCCTCTCTTTATCCCCTCTCCATTCCTATCTTTCTTCTTCCTCTTCTCTTTTTTTCTCCTCTCTTTCCCCACCTTCTCCGTCTGGTTATTCTCCCTCCTCCCCCATCACTTCCCCTCCTTTTTCCTTCTCCTTGTTCTCCTCCTTCTCCTCTTTCTCTTCTCCCTCTCTTCGTTTCGTCCACCTCTTCTTCCTTCTTCTTTCAATCCTTTTCTTATTAAATTTTTTTATTCCTTTCATTTCTTTTTTTTTCTCCTCTTCCTTCTCCTTTCCCCTTTTTCCCTCTTTCTCCTATTCCTCCCCAATTTGCCTCTTTCTCCTCCTTTCCTTCTTCCTTTTCCTCTTTCTTACTCCTCCTTTGCCTCATTTTCCTTTTTCTTCCTTTCCCCCTCTCTCCCTCTCCACATCCTCCTTTTCCTCCTTCTCCTCTTCTCCCCCTCTCCTTTTCTCCTCTTCCTCCTCCTTTCCATCCTTCCTCCTTTTCTATTCTCTTCTTCTTCCTCCTCCACCTTTCATCCTCTTTTCTCTTTCCTCCATCCTTTCTCCTCCTCACTTTCTATCCCCTCCTTCCACCTACCTTTCTATCCTCTCCTCCTTCCTCCTCCTCTACCTAAGAAAAACCTACTACTTTCCTCCTCTCCTCCTCCTCCTCCTCCTCCTCCTCCTCCTCCATCTCCCTCGAATAATGATAAACAACGTAGAACCGGAATACCACATCATGACATTAGGTCAGGTCAGACAAATTAATGACCTTTTGTGTGTGGTGTGTTATGTGTATGTGTGTGTGTGTGTGTGTGTGTGTGTGTGTGTGTGTGTGTGTGTGTGTGTGTGTGTGTGTGTGTGTGTGTGCGCGTTTTGTGTGTGTGCGTGTGTATGTATGTGTGTACACTTAACAGTAAGGACAGATGATGTTTACTCACTCGCAACCCCTCCACCTCCTCCTCCCTACCCTCTACCACCCCTCCCCCTCCCCCTCCCCGTCTCCCTCGAGCCCGGAATGCTCTGTCGGAGTTGGGGGAAAATGGAATAAGGAAAAGCACCTTGTTGCAATTTTTCCCCCATTTTTTTAGGGGATTTTTTTTTTCGCTCTCTCTTGAGGGAGAAAGGGATGGAGGGAGGGGGAGGGAGGAGGGTAAGGAGAGGAGGAGGAGAGAGGAGGAAGAGAGGAAGGAGAGAAAAGAAGGAGGAGAGAAAGAGGAAGAAGAAGAAGGGGAAAGAAGAAGAAGGAGGAGGAGAAGAGGGAAGAAGAAAGAAGGGGAAGGAAGGAGAGGGAGGGAGGAGGAGGAGGAGAGGAAGAGAAGAGAAGAAGAAGAAGAGAGAAAGAGAGAGGAAGAGGGGAGGAAGAAGAAGGAAGAGAAGAGAAGCAGGAGAAGAGAAGGAGGAGTGGGAAGAAGAGGAGAAAGAAGAGAGAGAAAGAAAAGAGAAGAGGAGGGTGAGGATAAGGAGGAGGAAGAAGAAGAGGAGGAGAGAGGAGGGGGAGGAGAGAAGGAGGAAGGGGAAGAAGAGGAAAAGAGAGAAGGAGAAAGAAAAGAGAATAGGGGGGGGAGTTGGGCGGGGAGAGAAGAGGGGGGGGACAGGAGGGGGTGGGAAGGAGGGGAAGGAAGGTGTTTTGTGGGGAATATTTATTTGACTTTGAATATGGATGCGGGAAGCTCTTGTTTACTGGGTGTTGTAAGGTCTTGGGAGAATCTTTGTGACTTTGCCTTGTCTCTTTTGTCTTTTCCTCTCTCTTCTTTCTTCTCTTCTTTCTTTCTTCTGCTTATCTTTTCTTTCTCTCTCTGTCTCTGTCTGTCTCTGTCTCTGTCTCTCTCTCTCTCTCGCTCTCTCTCTCTCTCTCTCTCTCTCTCTCTCTCTCTCTCTCTCTCCTCCACTCTCTCTTTTCTGTCTTATCATCATTCTTACCACTCCTTTCTTAATGTTTGTCATTTACTCTTTTAATTATCATCATCGTTATCATCACCTCGCTTATCTAACATTCATATCCTCATCATATCCATTATCATCATCAACACTATCATCATAATATCCCTTCTAACCATCGTTATTACTATTCTTATATTCGTTATCTCTATTATTAAAGTTAATTACAGGATATCTCATAATTTTTTTTCCTTGTTTTCTTTTTTTCTTTCTTCATTGTCCATCTTTTCTCTTCCGATCTTCTGTGCATTTCTTAACATCGTTTATCTCATCTTTGTTTAATGGTATAAAAAGCAGTCTGAAAGAGTTTAGTGTTATCATCATCATCATCATTATATTCGTTGATGTATAAAGTTAATAGTCATCACCATCGTCATAATATCAATGTTATTATCATTATCATCATTGTCGTTGTTATTGATATTACTCTTGTTATTGCTATGGATATTATGGTTGTTTTTATCACTCTGGTTATCATTGTTGTTAATAGTCTCATTATTATTGGTATGATCTTCATTGTTATCATGATTATCGTTATTATAATGATCATTATTTTTCATCATCTTTATTATCATTATCAATATCGTTCTTATCATTATTAGTGTTATCATTATTTCATTATCATCTTTATTATCATTATCATTATCGTTCTTATTATTACTAGTGTTATCATTGTTGTCAATATGTCACTATCATCACCATTATCATTGTCATTTCTATAACTGTTCATATAATCATCATTATCAGAATAATAACACGAATAATCATCACCATTAACATGAATACTATCACCCCAATAGATACTAGTCCTAGGTTAAATAAGTAAAATAAGCATAAATAAATAAGTATAAGTATAAATAAGTATAAGTAAAGTATAAGTATAAATAAGTATATAAGTAAAGTATCAGTATAAATAAATAAGTATAAAATAATAAAGTCAGTATAAATAAATAAGTAAAAAGTAAAGTATAGTAAAAAATAGATATAATAATAAATATAAATAAATAAATAAGTATAAATAAGTCAAATGATATTAGGGTTAACAAAGGTGGGTTGAATTTAGGAAGGGCATCCGGCTACAAAATCCAAAATGGACACCAAAGTCGGTAACTCCAAAATATATTAAAAAAAAAAAAAACACTGGCTTTTGGGCGAAATCGAGATATTAGGGTAACATGCGATTTTTTTTTACCTAAAAGGATGAAAAAAGAATTGGAAAAAAGGAAAATTGTGATTAACATTATTACTATGTTTGTTATAATTAGTAACGGTACTAATGGTGATCTGTATTCCCGCTATTTTTTCGTATAATAATGGCGATGATGATAGTAATATTGATATTGATAATGATGACAATAATGATAACGGTAAAATTATGATAATGGCAACAGCGATATTTGATTAGTCTGATAATGATACTAATTATAACGATGATAATAATGAAGATAATGATGATGATAATTATGATACATCGATTATCATATAAAATAAATTTGCTAAAACTAACAATTACACCAAACTAACAGAAAAAATACATTCAGTTACCCCTACAATCAATAAAAAGCCAAAATTACTAACAAGAACTAGTTACCTTAAAAAAATAACGAAAATATAATAAAAACTAAAATCATAAACCTACAGCCAAACAAACCAAAAAAACAAAAACAAAATTACATTCACACAAATAATATTACTAACATAAACCAAAGAGAAAAGTGAAAGAAAACAATAGAAAACGGAGAAAGTACTCACAAGGGTGCGCCGGAGAGTAAGGAAATTCGAGCGTTGGCAACCTTGGCGAAGACCCCGGATGTAGGCTCGGCGGACAGTGGTAACAGAACATGCTGGAACCTGTTTTGAGAAGGGCGGTGTGAGGAACGAGTCTATATGGGGTTGGTAATGATGACAGTAATGATAATGATGTTGATACTGATAATGATGGTAAAACCGATGATAGGAAGTAAGAATTGTGATGATAATGTTGATAGTAATCATAATAATGATGATGATGATAATGATAATATGATAACAATAATGATAATGATTTATTTATAATAATGATATAATGATAACGGAAGATGATGATATAATAACAATAATGATAATAGTAATCATGATAATGATAATAATAATAGTAATGTTAGTAATAACAATGATAACAGATAACATAAATGATAATATGATAAAGATGATAATGATAATAATACGATAATAATGATAAAGATGACAACAATAATAATAACAATATACAATAACAATATGACAATAATAATGATAATACCAATAATCATGATAATCATAAACTAATTCAACTGTAACATTCAACTGTAATACTTTTTGTGATTAAATTCCAAACGACTGGGCGATATTTTCCTTATCTAATTCTATCATAATTAAGAAGTTTTTTTGTGTCTCTTTTAATTCATACTAATTTTTTTTTTTTTTTTTTGATGTAGAGTAGATTGTAAATAGATAGTATGAATAATGAAATGGATAATTGAATAAGTGAACAAATACATAAACAAAAAAAGGTATGAATATATAAATAGGTAAATAAATAGATAGATGGATAAATAAACAAACAATTATATAAATAACATACCCACCGAATAGAGATCATCTAAATGGTCTAAATCGGAATAAAAAAAATATATTCCGTAAATAAGTTCCTTCGCTCAAAAAATAAATGAATAAATAAACAGATAAATAAATAAAACAAAAAAAATATATATGAATACAAATAAAAAACGAAATAACTGTTTGTATTGTCTGTGTCCAATCAAATTATTTCGTCTCTCTTATACAACAAAGTTCTGTTACTTTTACTTGTATTTTTCATTTTTATTTTTTGAAAGGGAGGGAAGGGGTACGTCTGAATGTAATGTGATTTAGATGTAAAAATAAGTATTACATTTTTCATTTTTTTCTTAAACTCTTCTTCGTATTTTTCTTACTTCTCTTTTCTTCCCTTTTTTATCTTTTCGTTTATTTCTATATAGTGTTTGTCGTCATATTCTTCAGCATTATATAAAGTCCTTTTTTATTATATTTAACGAATTCCTCCATTATGTTTGTCAGGCTGCCTCTCTCCCTCTCTCACTCCTATACATTATCTATCTCTCCCTCTCTCCCTCACTCCTTCTCTCTGTTTCCCTCATATCCCCTCAATCCCCCTCTATCTTCCCTCCCCCCACCATCCCTCTCCAATCCCCCTCCCACTCCAAACCCCCACTTTCCCTCCTCCTCTTTCTCCCCCTTCCCTCCCCTCCTCTCCCCCATCCCCCCCTCCTCTCCTCTCCCTCCCCCTCCTCCCCTTCCTCTTCCCTCCCCTCTCCTACCTCCACTCCCTCCCCCTCCCCTACCTCCCTCCCACTCTAACCCCCACTTTCCCCCTCCTCTCCCTCCCCCCCCCCTCTCCCTCCACCTACCCCCCCTCCCCCCCTCTCCCCACCAGACACCCCCCCCCTCGGATAACACCTTCAGAAGTTTGAGGTTCAGACTAATCTCTCATTTTTCTGTATCTTCTCCTCGGCCCAAACTGACCTCGCTCACTGCAGGGGAAGAGAGAGAGAGAGAGAGAAAGATGTATGGACGAGGGAGAGAGACGGGAATAGGGAGAAGGATGATGATGATGATGGTGGGTGAGGGTGGTGGTGAGGGTGGTGTGGTGTGGTGGTGTGGTGGTGTGGTGGTGGTGGGGTGTGGTGGTGGGTGTGGTGTGGTGTGGGTGGGTGGTGGTGGTGGTGTGGTGGTGTGGTGTGTGGTGTGGTGATGGTGGGTGGTGTGTGTGGTGAGGGTGGTGGGGGTGGTGTGGTGTGATGGTGTGGTGTGTGGTGGTGGTGGTGTGGTGGTGGGTGGTGTTGGTGGTAGGTGGTGGGTGGTGAAGGGTGGTGGTGGTGTGGTGGTGGTGGTGAAGGTGGTGGTGGTGTTTTTTTTGATTTGTGGTGGGTGGGAANTCTCTCTCTCCCTCCCTCCTCGCCTTCTCCCCGCCTTTTTTTTAATCTCTTCTCCCTTTCTCTCTCTTTCCTCTCTCTTCTTTCTTTATTCTCTCCCTCCCTTTCTCCCCATTCTCAAATCTCTCCTCTCCCTCTCCCCTTTCATCTCCCCTTCTCCTTTCTCCCTTTTTTATCTCTCTCTCTCTCCCCTCTCCCCTTTTTATCTCTCTCCCTCTCTCCGCTTCTTTTCCTCCTTCTCTTATTCTCCCTCCCTTTTCTCATTCTCATCTCTCTTTCTCCCTCTCCTTTCATTATCCCTTCTCTCCTTTTTCCCTTTGTTTATCTCTCTCTCTCTCTCTCTCCCCTCTCCCCTTTTTATCTCTCTCCCTCTCTCCCTCTCCCCTTTTTTATTCTGCTCTTTCCCCTCTCTCCCTTCTTCCCCCTTCTTCCCATCTCCTCTCTCCCCTATCCCCCTTTTTTTAATATATCTCCCCTGCTCTCCCTCTCCCCTTTTTTTTTTTTTTATCTCCTCCTCCCTCTCCCCCATTTTTTAAATCTCTCTCCCTCTCTCCCTTCTCCCCTTTTTTTATCTCTCTCCTCGTCTCTCCCTTCTTCCCCCTGTGTTCCACAAATCCCTTTGAGGTAATCCCAAGTTTAAGAAATACTGCATCGGCGCGTAATCCTCTTGTCGAGGAGGGGGGCTGTAAGAGGGGTGGGGGGTGGGGGGTGGTTAGGGGAGTTCGATTAAATTCTAAGTCCTTGGTTGGTTTCTGCCATCTCTCTCTCTTCTCTCTCTCTCTCCTCTCTCTCTCGTCTCTTCTTCTCTCCTCTCTCTCCTCTCTCTCTTCTCATCTCTCTCTCCTCCTCTCTCTCTCTCTCTCTCTCTTTCATTCTTATCTCACTTGTTTTCTCTTCCTCTTTCTTATCTCTTCTGTTCTCTCTTCCTCTATTCTTTTCTCCTCTTGTTCTCTCTTCCTTTCTTTCATTTCTCTCCTTCTCGGTTTTTCTTTTTGTCTGTTTCCTTTTTCACTTCTTTTCGTTCTTCTCTCTTCTCTCTCTCTCTCTCTGTCTCTCTCTTCTTGTCGCTTCCTGTCTCTCTCTTTCTTTCCTCTTTAGTCTTCTCTCCCTCCCTCCCCCTCTCTCTCTCTCTCTCTCCTAATCCTTCATCCCTCTCCCCCTCTCTCCCAACTGCCCTTCCCAACCCCCATCCCCCTCCCCTCTCTCCCCCTCCCCTCTCCCTCTCACTCCTCCTTCCCTCTTACTGCACTTTCCCTCCCACACACCCCCCTCCCCCTCTCTCCAACCCCGCCTTCCCAATCCCCCGCCCTCCTCTCTACTCCTCTCCACTCCCTCCTCCTTCCCTCCCTCCCTCCTCTCTCCACTCCTTCCTCTCACTCACTCCTTCCCTCTCCCTCTCACTCCCTCTCACTCCTTTCCAGTCCCTCCCTCTCCCTCCTCTCTCCATCCACCCTCCCTCTCTCTTCCCCACATCCCCCTCTCCACTCCCTCCCTCTTTCCCTCTCTCCCTCTCACTCACTCCTTCCCTCTCACTTCACTCTCCCGATCCTTCACTCTCACCAGCATCCCCTGTCACTCTAATTCACAATATGCAAATTAGGCTAAAAGCTCCATCTCTCATCTCTTGTTGGGGTAAATAATGTACCAAAAATAAGTCTATCTTAGAAAAGCGATATGAATATAGGAATAGGAGAACGGAAGAAGAAGAGAGATAAGGGGGTGGAATAGAATTGTATTTGTATCATGGGTTCTTAATTTTTTCTTTTTTTCGTGTTTTTTTTCTTCTTCTTTCTTGTTGTTGTTTTTTTTTCATTTCGTCTGCTTTTTCTCCTTCTCCTTCTTTTTTTACATGTTTTTTTTTCCGTTTCTTTATAATATTATCATCTTTATCATTATCATTATTTCAATCATATCATCATTACTATTAATTTTCTATTTATCTTTTTATTCCTCATTTTTCACCTCTCTTCTTCTTTATCTAATGTAACTTTTCTTTTCTTCATCGTTGTGGGTAATATTACCGGAGAGAAGTAAGGAAGAGAGGAGAGAAGAGAGAGAGAGAGAGAGAGAGAGAGAGAGAGAGAGAGAGAGAGAGAGAGAGAGAGAGAGAGAGAGAGAGAGAGAGAGAGAGAGAGAGAGAGAGAGAGAGAGAGAGAGAGAGAGAAAGAGAGAGAGGGGGGGAGAGAGAGAAAGAGAGAGAGAGAGAGAGAGAGAGAGAGAGAGAGAGAGAGAGAGAGAGAGAAGAGAGAGAGAGAGGAGAGAGAGAGAGAGAGAGAGAGAGAGAGAGAGAGAGAGAAAAGAAACAGAAACACACACACACACACCACACAACCAATACAGAAGCTTTTAATGTTTGACTAATATTTAAATTACGTAGAGTACAACAAAAGGAATTTAGAATAATATCATCAATACATATTCCAACAGAAAATATTACAATCAGAGAGACACGTCATAAATCTACAAAAATATCTATTACTTATTATTATTATATTATTATTATTTATTATTATTATTATTATTATCATTCATTTAGTCTCTCACAACATCGACTTACATTTCCAACTTCAGAATATTTGGTCGTAATAAAGATAATACTCCTAATTGAAGAAGGTCAATCAGAATACCAGTGATAAATGATTATAATTAATTGCTATCAGCTGGTTTGTTAAAATTGTTCCAGGCCCGAATCAATAATTCATCACAAAATAATATATACAGATGCAGAAATAAAGGCATATCTGTCTATATATCTGATAGGTATACATTTAATTATCTATTTGCCGGGTTGATATGCATGTCTAGACTGAGTAAATACGTATTTATTTCTTTGTTTATGCATGTCAAGTATACGAATATTCTTTGGGTTGGACCTCGTACAATTCTAACA